TCTCTCTCTCTCTCTCTCTCTCTCTCTCTCTCTCTCTCTCTCTCTCTCTTCTCTCTCTCTCTCTCTCTCTCTCTCTCTCGCTCTCTCGTTCTCTCTCTCTCGTTCTCTCTCTCTCTTTCTCTCTCTCTCTCTCTCTCTCTCTCTCTCTCTCTCTCTCTCTCTCTCTCTCTCTCTCTCTCTCTCTCTCTCTCTCTCTCTCTCGTTCTCTCTCTGTGAAATTCACAGCTAAGGTATATCGTTGTTTACTGTTTTGTTGCTCTGTTTCTTGCATTCTGTTTTTTAATGTATAGCGTTATTCATCATTTTTTTACCTTACCACCCTTAGATTGCATTCTGTTTGGTTATTATAATATTGTCCTCATTTGACTTACTTTCTTTTCAATTTTCTCCACATTTTGATAATTCTTTTCTTCTCTCCCCTCTTCCTTCTTTCCCTCTCCTTCATTCGGTGCCTATTTGTTTTTCCAGATTTCCTTCTGGCTTTCGTTCCAGATGTGTACATCTGCCAAGATTACTTGTGAAGTGGATAGTAGTGGTAATCTGTAGGATTGTTTTGTATTGCATGTTTTGTTGTTTTTAGAGTTTTTTCATTTACGGTTTTTTTTTCCGTTTGTGTGAATGTGTGTGATCTTGTATATGTGTTTGTATGTGTGTGCGTGTCTTTGTGTGTGTGTGTGTATGTGTGCTGTGGCTGTGTGCATTCATCCGTATCCATTGCAATAACAACGCACGTCTTTGATCTTTAAAAAGAAATCTCAAATCTATCATTTCACAAAAGGTTCATTGGCGCACTCAGTGACTCGTGTGCGACCACTTCGAACTGGATTTGATAGAGATGATTTTCTTTTTAGATTTCACAGATTGTGTTGTTTCATGTGGTAGTTGATTATTCAAAAGCTAAGCTATTTACCTCCCCCCCATGCTAGGCAGGGGATGGCGGTAGCTTAGTTTTTGGGTTTTTAACTGTCACGCATTTTACCATGTGCATGCGCATCATTCATGATATATCACACGCATTATATAGCATTATTTATGCATTATGCATTGTATAGCATCATTTATGCATTGTGCATGCATCAATTTATTATCACACAACACCATTCAACAGTAAAACATATACGGTAATGCAAACAGTACAGCAAATCTGCACTAAACAACTGCAAAAAAATCATATGGTCTAATACACTGTGAACAGTACCGTAGTCAAGACTGCTTAACATGCATACAGATTGCAAATTTTATTTTCATGTTTTAACAAAAAATATAAACATGAAAATAAAATTTGGCAAAATCGATCGTAAAGGGTTGCTTAGCAACCCAAAAAAAAAAAAAGAGGAGTTGACGCGTGGGGAGCACTTACGGATCAGCTTCGCTCACGGCACCTCAGCCCCCGGGTGTGCTCAAATCGAGGGGCCTTTTTCTGAATTGGGCAGTGAGTGGCAGTTTTCTGGTTGTATACGCCCAGCTCACATATGATGTACTTTGGCGGTTTGCGTGTACGAAGCTGTATAGAGCAGCGTGTTACCTTCACCGCTTTGAACCACGACTTCCCACCCTGAAAAGTGAAACATGAGCTGTAACGAGCAACGTGTGACCCAAAATAGTTATAAATAGTAAAATATGCCGTTCAACAGACAGTTGAACCGGGTTTCCTTCCCAGGTGGTTGCTGACGCGTGAGGAGCACTTGCGGATCAGCTTCGCTCACGGCACCTGAGCCCTTGGGTGTGCTCAAATTGAGGGGCCTTTTCTGGATTGGGCTGTGAGTGGCAGTTTTCTGGTTGTATCCGCCCAGCTCACATATGATGTACTTTAGCGGTTTGCTACGAAGTTGTGTACGAAGCTGTATAGAGCAGCGTGTTACCTTCACCGCTTTGAACCACGAATTACCATCCTGAAAAGTGAAACGTGAGCTGTAACGAGTACTTGTGACCGCCCAGAACTGTAATGCCATAGAAGAACCAGAACTGTTGGAACGCGCCTCCCTCACTTTCGTTCGTGGTGCTGGCAAGAAAGAGCGGGGGGGAACGACACGGACATCACGATTCACGAATCACGATCATCGAGGAAGCAGCCTGTGAGGTGGAGCCAGCGAGAGGGCGGGAGTGGGGGGGTGCGAGCGGGATCAAGAAAGAGATACCGTTGGATTATTTTTAACGTCAGGGTAGCTGCCCTTGTTGTGTAAGTGCTGTCGTCCTACTTGACTTCTCTGAAGTGGAATAAAAGGTTTTGAGTGGCTTCCGAGGGGTGTGGTTGGATTTCTGTTCAGCACTTAGGGCTGTGAATTTGTAACGACCAATCCAAATGGTCGACCGTTTGGGCGATTGCGAAGTAATTGGGTTACGCTATATTGAGTAGTCACCCCGATTTGACTGAATTGAAAAAACAAATGTCCGCCATTTAGCACATAAATTTCCGCCACCAGGTTCTATCTCTAGCGGGTAGAAAATCTTTGTGTTTGCCTAAACCCCCTGCTTTGTTAAACACCCTAGAATAGGCGTCCAATCCCCTTGTATTCCCCACCCCATTCAAATACAGGAAGGAATCAAAACCTTCGCTATTAAATAAGAGGGTGATTTAGGGTAGGTGTTCCAGTCGCTGACGAGATGTCTGGCGGGGTTCGCTTACACGTTACACGTGTCGCACTCGCCAGAAACGCGCAAATGGTCGGAAACTTGGTTCGTTACAAAACACGCCCTTACTGCCGCCGCACTCAAGGGGGTCACACTTCCCGCTACTTGAGGGCAGATTACGACGGCAAAAGCTCGATTTGCCACCGTTCTGTAAACTGATTAAACATAGTACACCCAATTTTTCGTGTGGGTGTTAATCCAGGGTTCATTTCTGTACAAAGCAGTGTAGCACAAATTCTGCGATGGTTGCTAACAATCATGGTGGCCTCGCAGTTGGTTCCGCATACTGTAACCAGATTGTCACGTCGTTTGTCCGTATTTGGGACTGAAATGAAGACTGTAGCTGGCAGCAGCAAAGGTCGTTTCACGTCCGTATTTCAGCGAATGAGGGAGTAGAATTTGGCAAACAGTAACCAAACGACCCCCGAAACCGCGTCAGGGGGTAGCGATTCGCGGTCGCCAATGTGCTGCACGCGGTGCGGTTCGCTGGGAAATTGAGCTGAGACGCGGAGAGTAGCCAGTCCTGCCCCGTGCATCCCCCCGTTGCTTGGAGGAATTTTGTGTACAGTGCCTCGATAATCCGCGGAGCCATCGCTGCTGGCACAGGTAGCTTACATAAACAAGCAGCTGCAACGCAATGGGTACCTCAGATCTCGACGTAAAACGCCGCAAACAGCCTGATTCCGTGCGACTCTTGTGTCCCCCGTGCTCGTACAAATGCACGATCGTGGTCAATTGAAAAAATCACCTCATCACGCTGTCACGGTGCGGCCTTACTAGTCATAAAATCTCGCGATCAGCTGATCGTGTTCTGCGCTTTCGGCCCGCTTTTTCAGCCTTGCGCCTCCCAGACTAGAAAAACTCAAATTGAATTTGGTACATTTGCAGCTGAGGCTAGCTTCGATACGCGTTACGTGCTCATACGTACGTGCTCTTGTTCCCATACGTGCTCGATCTTGTTCCATGCGTTTTTCTTCATACAGTGCAATTTTTCCGTAATATAGCGCGATCATCTTGAAGCTATAATTGTTAGTATGGATCCGTACTGGGAGTGGGACGAGTGCGACATTGGCTTGGTTCTCGTCAAGCAAGAAAGCGACGCCGCTTCCGCCGCCGCCACAGCCGCCGCTGCATCCGCCTCACCCAGCGGCGGGGAGCACGGTGACGCCGCAGGTCGCACGATCGTCATGGAATGGGCACCCGCAACGTTAGCGGCAGAAGCGGCAGCAGGAGCATCCGCGGGAGCATCGGGAGCGGTGTCGCTGGCGGCATCCCCGCTGCAAGCGGGTGGGTTCCGCCGCCCGGCACTGACTCCGCTTATGGCGACGGCAGCGTCTCATCGTCCCCTTTCCCCCCTCACCAGCGGCGGCTGCCGCGAGTTTTCCGCCACCTCTGCCGCTGGCTCGGCACCGAGCCATTATGGTGCTGCTTCAGCCTCGAGCCCCTCTGCCTCGGCACCCAGCCCTGCAGGCTCGGCACCCAGCCCCAGAGGTTCGGGCCCCAGCCCTGCAGTATCCACCGCGGCATCACACGCAGAGGCAGAAGCAGGGGCGGTGCTGTGCCCTTCTGAAACCGTACGACGGCAAGGAGCCGTACCCAAGTCACACAGCTTGAAACTGTAAGTGGTATAGATGAAACTCGATGATTTCTAGAATTGGCACTCTCCTTGTAGAAAACCCCAACCCTTCATCTCATCACCCTCGTCTCATCACCCGCTCATCACCCCTCATCTCATCACCCTCGTCTCATCACCCCTTTCATCACCCCTCGCATCACCCCTCATCTCATCACCCTCGTCTCATCACCCTCATCATCACCCCTCATCTCATCACCCCTCATCTCATCACCCCTCATCTCACCCTCATCTCATCACCCCTCATCTCATCACCCCTCATCTCATCACCCCTCACCCCTCATCTCATCACCCCTCACCCCTCATCTCATCACCCCTCTCTCATCACCCCTCATCTTATCACCCCTCATCTCACCACCCCTCATCTCATCACCCCTCGTCTCATCACCCCTCATCTCATCACCCCTCATCTCATCACCCCTCATCATCACCCCTCATCTCATCACCCCTCATCTCATCACCCCTCATCACATCACCCCTCATCGCATCTCATTAATGTCCTCTCTCCTCTCCTCTTACTAACCTCTCCTCTCCTCTCTTCTCCTCTTGCCCTCGCATTGCAGAACCGCACACCGGGCCAAATACCTTGCACGCTCAAGATCCCGAAGAAGCAGCACTGCTGCTACAGCAGCTCCTGCTGCTGCCCCAGCTGCTACAGCCGCTGCCGCCGCTGCTGCTGCTCCCGCTACAGCTGCCGTCCCAGGAATGGGCGCTACAGAGATCGCAGCCACTCCGGACAATCCTTCAACCTTTTTCCGTTGCTCCGCTTCTGCTGGGGCAGTGTTGGATCGTCCGTCTTCTGCTGGATCGATATTGCAACGACCGGCTTCAACGGGTGGCGTGCTGGATTGCCTCCCTCCCTCCCCTCCGTCCGTATCAGCATTCTTCTCTCTCTGCTCTGCTCCCCAGCTGTCACCTCACACCACACATGCTGCCTCTCCTCCTCCTGCCACAGCAGCTGCCGCTGCTGCTGCTGCTGCTGCTGCTGCGGCGGCCACTGCCACTGCCACTGTTGCTGCTGCCCGAACCTGCAAGCGAGGCTTGGAAAGCACAGCAGACCACGACAGCGGCAGTATCCCCGGCACTGGGCGGCAGGGCGGCGACAGTGCCGGCCCCACCGGGCGGCAGAGCGGGCGGCAGGGCGGGCGGCAGCGTGGCAGCAGCGGCGGGACCAGCGGGCGGCAGAGGTACCAGTGGCTTCCGGTTGACTTGCCAGACGACGGGTACGACTGGTGCAAATACGGACAAAAAACCGCTAGTGGTTGATTCCTGCTGTATCCGCTCCTATTACCGCTGCTTTCTCGGGGACCCCCGCCAGGTCGGCCTACATCCTGACCGAGAACCCTGCCCGGCGAAAAAAATTGTTGACTGGAGGATCACACCGGGTGTTATCAGCAGCGCTATTTCCCACGCGTCTACTAGTGGACGGCTGGAATCTGGAGCACTAGCTGAAGCGGATCAACCTTCTGGTGCTGCTCGCACCACTCTCCTCCCATCTAACTCTACCCCTGCTGGTGCTGCTAATGCTGCCGCCGCTGCTGCCACTGAGGTCGCCCCTTCAGCTCCTATCTCCCCTATAATCAACTACCTTAATGAGCATAACCATGAGGCGCCGAACCCCCCTCACTCCCGCCCTCCCATCTCCCAGCGCTTGCATATCCCCCTTAGTCGCCTCCCCGCTTCCGTTACAGGCGTGCTGATCCCTGGGAATGCTACACAAGGCTTGGATATGGCACAGGAATTACCTCCGACTGAAAACCCCCTGTGGGGGATCGGGTGCCGGACAGGGAGGCTCGTGTTACAGACGGTTCTGGTGGTAACCAGGTTACAGTCAGAAGTGAGGGTGTGATGCTGGGAGGATCTACAGTGGGAGCGGGAGCAGTGGAGACTGGTCTGTATTCAGGTGTTGGTGTGGGTGATGTGGGTGGTGCGTGTGTTGGTCGGATGGATGGACAGGGGGAGCTGGTGGGCGGAGGGATGTTTACAGCAAACCTGGACCTTTTGAGAGGAAAGGAGTCAGTGCAGCAGCAGCAGTGCTGGGTAGCAGAGAGTGATGTGGCAATGGGAGGCGTGTCACTGCCTTTTGTCGACACATGGCTGCAGCAGCAGCAGCAGCAGCAGCAGCAGCAGCAGCAGCAGAAAAGGGAGAAGGAAGAATTGTCAATCTCGGCACTGCCAGCAGGCCTTCAGACGCCCCAGAATGCATTTCCAGCAGTGGCGACAGGAGCAGAGTAGAATCAGGCTTTGCCACGGCATGCCCTCTTGGAAACCCCTCTACAGAAGCAGCAGCGGCAGCAGCATTGGCGTCAGCAGCAGCGGTGGCAGGAGAAAAGGCAGAATCAGGGTTTGGATTTGAGCTGGAGTGTGCGGGAGCTGCTGGGATGCGGTCCCAGTCTCTCTTGGATCAATACTTTGGGCGACAGCAGCATGAGCAGGAACAGCCTTTTGGGGGGCCTCAAAAGGTGGATCAATACTCAGAGCGACGGCAGCATGAGCAGGAACAGCCTTTTGAGTCGATTCAGAAGAAACAGCAGGAGGAGCAGCAGGCTTGGAATGCGCTGTGTTTCCCTGTGCTATCTTCCTCATCAGCCTTTGCATCTCCTACCTTCGCTCCCTGCCTCCTCTCCTCTACCACCCTCCCTTCTACCGCTCTCCCGCCTCCCGCTCTCCCCTCCGCTGCTCTCTCCTCTAGCGTTATGTCTGACTCTGTCACCCACATTCTCAGCCAGGTAACACCTTCCCCAGTCGCCCCTTCCCAGGCTGCCTCCTCACACGCCCTATCCTCGTTATTAACAGCTTCCAATGCCGGCGAACAGGCTCCTTCCACTCCATCCCCATCCATTCCATCCGCCTCCATTCCATCTGCCTCCATTCCATCCGCCTCCATTCCATCCGCCTCCATTCCATCCGCCTCCATTCCATCCGCCTCCATTCCATCCGCCTCCATTCCCTCCGCTTCTCCCCAACTTCCGCTGCTTTCCAACCTTCAACTTCTCTCCCCCACCGCAAACACCCAAGCCTTCACCTTTCCCTCACCCTCCCACTCCCACTCCCCTTCCCTCTCCCCGTCTCCCTCCCCCCGGCCTACCTCGCCCCTACAACCATCCTCCCCTGCCACCATCGAAGCAGCCTTCCCCTCGACCACTCTCGCCGCTGCTTTCCCATCCACCAGCCAAGCACACACCGTCTCACTCCCTTCTTCCAACGCCCGCCTCTCGCCCACCTTTTCCCTTCCTGCTAAGACCCATCCTCTCCCCACAATCCCCACATTACCTCAGAGCCGTAGCACCCCTGCTGCTCCCTCCTCAATCCACAGCAGCAGCACCCTTGCAGGTCCGGCAGGAGGTTCGGCAGGGATTTACGGGTCAGCAGCGGCAACTGTGCGGGTGCAGCGAGCGCAGGACCTGGGGGTTACAGATGCTCCGTTAAGCTTGCTCCTGCTCAGCCGACGGAAGCAGCAGCAGCAGCAGCACCAGCAGCAGCAGCAGCAGCAGGCACAGTCACAGCAGCAGCAGCAGCAGCAGCAGCAGAAGCAGCAGCAGCTAAAGTACCAGCAAGGCCAGCAGCAGCATCTCTTGCAGGGCCAGCAGCAGCAGCAGCAGCAGCAAGAGCAGCAGCAGCAGCAGCAGCAGCAGCAGCAGGAGCGGCAGCAGCAGCAGCAGCAGCAGCAAGAGCAGCAACAGCGACAGGAACAGCAGCAGCAGCAGCATTGGTGGGATGCGTTTGTAGATGCTGCTCCCCTCACACAACTGATGCCCCTGACCATGCAGAGTGAGGGTGAGGGTGAGGGCATGGAAATGGACTATCACCCTTCACAAGGGACAAAGGATAAGCGACAGCACTGAACAGCCAGGCCTGGTTGCTTCCTCTGCTATCAACTAGCTTCATACCACTGGTTTCTGCTTCCTTCTACCGTATTTACCTGACTTCCTCAACCTCCTTCCCATACTCGCTACAAGCATGATGGAATGTGCTGGCGCACAGCGCTTGTAGCTTTTTGCCGCTGCAATGTGGCGTGAAGGGGTGATTTTTCAGGTTGCAAGGATAGAGGGGGGGAGCTACTTTCTTCGCAGGGCTACAATTGCCGTGTGAAACACTCTACTGGAAGGGTGACACCTTCCTGATTTCTTCATATCTTCATTATTTATATAAAAGTACTGCATTTTCCCCCCTTAATTTCCCTTTGGTTTCATTTTTGCCCTGTTCTAGAGTGCTTCCTGCATGTTATTGTTGTCTTATTATTAATAATAAAAGTTTAAACTCTAAAAGGCTTCTTCCATAAACAGCTTTCTCCTGTGTGCACAAGGATGATTCCTATAGCACAAACAACAAACAAGCAGGTTCCAAGATGGATGAATCCACAAGATGAGATGCTGGTGCATGCAAGGAACAATCATGTAATTTATGAGCTGGTTAAAGACTGTATCACCTGGCAAGATACAAAAATCGTACTGTTATAATTGGCTCTGAATTCTCGAGTACCGAAATCGCATCTCCCCTATTGCACTCCCAAACGCGGACAATACCGAGGGTGTGTCTCGTCCATTTCACCTGAGCCAAGATTGCCGCCATCATCGTCACTATCTAGGTTCGTCACCAGCAGCGTCAGTAAGCTTGGCCTACTAGCAATACTACACCCGTAGCTCACGGAACGTTGCCCAGCCAGCTGCCACAACACTAGCAGACTCAGCTCGCTCCCCTCGGTGTGGGTCATCCCGTCCCTCCCACATCTCAGCCTGTTCGTAAACCACCGCAGAAGCCGGCCTGTCGCACGACCTCTCGCATCACGGCCTGTTACCCTTTCGTGAATTTCGTGACTGCTCTCAGCTTTCGTGAAATTTTACTCCCGCTTTCAGTCTTCCATTTGAAGCTCTGTGATTCTAAAAACCATCGGATGCCGGGATATTTTTCCAGGACACTACTCACGATTGCGACGCTTTAGGTTTCCGTCTGTCGCTGCGTTTTCACGAACGTAGCAGCGAGCGTTGATTTCCGATAGTAATATTTCTCCTAATTCAGTTGCTGCCGTCGTCTTAGTAACGAGCGTTCGCCGCGAGTCACGAGCGCCAGAGACCGTTTCCTCCTTCGCTAGCTTTCGTCACATTTCGCCGGAGTTTCGCCAGCCGTGGCGATGGCGGGGAGCACGGACCTGACGAAGCAAGGCGTTGTTGGAAGATCCGTCGCAGACGATTCTCATGGCGATGAACTAAGAACCAGGCTCGTGGACCGTCGCCGGGCGACGAGGGCGACTGCAGAGCAAACCGCGTATCCTCGCTTGGCGGTGAGCAATTTCGTATATACTGTAGTTGCTGGTTTAAAACATTTTTAGGTTATTGTAGTTCAGTCGTGTGTAGCCATTGCTGGCACAGACGAGGCTAACTGACAATGTTCCACTCTTTGGTCATCGCTGATACTGTCGGTCCTTCTCTATGTCTAGATTATACTATTTTCGAGGGCATTATAACCCTAAGCATCAGTTGTGCCTACTTTTCCCAACTCCACTGCAGTGAGGCGCAAGGAGGAACACGGAAAGCAGAAGCCAAAAATCCACATCTTAAGCCCGACCACAAGGATTAGAGGTTTGCCCCCCCCCCCCCCCCCCCCCCACCCCCCCCCCCCACCTCTTCCCCCCCCCCCCCCCCTCTTCCCCCCCCCCCCCCCCTCCTCTTTTTTTTGCTTTCTCGGTTTCTTTCTAATTTCAACTTAGCTTGATATAGTTAACAATCTCGTCGATCCTGAACCTGCCACTCGCAACATTCCTTCCTGCCGTTGATTCTGCTTTTGCATTCTTGATCAGCAGTCGTCTCATCTCAACTGTTGCCGCACTCATTTCCTTCCCAACGGCTCAATCCTTGTGCTCTTTACAAACGATTGCTCACAAACGAGTGTCTCATCCTTTCCCACTTCCTCCCTGTCCACATCTCCCTCCCTTTGTCCCTCCCCTCCCTTCTCACCACCTCTTCCCCTCCCAGCTGCTCAAGTCGTACCGATTGGGAGCGCTCACGAGCATTGAGCTGGTCACCAGTGACACCACAGGCCGCTCCTTCCTCCTGGTAGGCCGCTTATTCACTCACTCACTCACTCACGAGCATCGAGCTAGTACTCATTGTGTGTCTCAGACGAACACATACATCCGTGGTATCTCATTCATCATCTTCCTTCTCATCTCACAGGTGACTTTGAGTCGACTCAAAAGTCTCCCACCACAAAGTGGTGCTCCCTGGGTCTGAACACATACATCCGTGGCATCTCACCTCATTATCTTCCTTCTCATCTCACAGGTGACTTTTGAGTCGACTCAAATGTCTCCCACCACAAAGTGGTGCTCCCTGGGTCTGAACACATACATCCGTGGCATCTCACCTCATTATCTTCCTTCTCATCTCACCACTTCCTTCTTCCCTCCGCCAATGGCGTGCTGCCAGGTGTTTGACGAGAAAACGGACAGCTCACAGCCTCAATGGACCACAAGGACAGTCGATGACAGGTGTGCCCTCTCTCACACACGCACATGCATGCATGCACACATGTATGCATGCACACATGTATGTATGCACACACGTATGTATGCACACACGCACATGCATGCATGCATGCACACACGTATGTATGCACACACGCACATGCATGCATGCACACACGTATGTATGCACACACGCACATGCATGCATGCATGCACACACGTATGTATTCCACACGCACATGCATGCATGCACACACGTATGTATGCACACACGCACATGCATGCATGCATGCACACACGTATGCATGCACACACGTACGTATGCACACACGTATGTATGCACACCGCACATGCATGCATGCATGCACACACGTATGTATGCACACACGCACATGCATGCATGCACACACGTATGTATGCACACACGCACATGCATGCATGCATGCACACACGTATGTATGCACACACGCACATGCATGCATGCATGCACACACGTATGTATGCACACACGCACTTGATAGTTGCCTCAATGGACTACCAGGCCAGCTCACAGCCTCAATGGACCACAAGGACGGTCGATGACAGGTGTGCCTTCGCGGTCCCTCGCACACATGCACGCTCACATGCCTGCCCATGCACATGCACATGCACGTGCACGTGCACGCACACACGCATGCATGCAAGCCCGCGACTGAGAGATCTGCTCACGTCTTCCCCGTTGCCGCCCTCTATCCCCACCCGCAGGAACCAGCTCGTGTTTCTGCTGCTCAAGATGTGCAAGGACTACCTAAAAACGCTCCCCAAAGTCATTGGGCTCGATGTGGTCGACCTGGCCCTCTGGGCCAAGGTGGGTTGTGGTGGAGTGGGGTGGGGTGAGGTGCTGTGGGGTGGGGTGCGGTGCGGTGCGGTGGGGGTGCGATTTTGGTTCAGTGAACTGGTGTTCTTTCTGGGATAGATGGCTGCAAGGACTACCTAACCCCCACATCCCCACTCCACCGCCTTGCTGTGCAGAAAAACGCCAAGTCGTTGCCGGGAGGAGCACGGCTGACAGAGGAAGGGGAGGGCGAGGCGGGGTGGGGGTGGAGAGCGAGTCGATGATGGCGCAGGACAGCCTGGTGTCCAAGGTGGAGGAGGAGGACATGGAGGCGCTGCTGGGCACGTGAGTGCGGTTCAGTGCGGTGACAGCCGGTTCGGTGCGGTGGGAGCAGGTTCAGTGCGGTGAGAGCAGGTTCAGTGCGGGGAGAGAATGTTTACTGTGCTTGAGCTCTGGGACAAGCTCGCTACAATCCCTGCTCACTTCATCCGTCTCCTCTTTCCCTTCCCAGCTATGTGATTGGTATTGACGAGGCAGAGGCGTTCAGTGAGAGGCTGAAGAGGGAGCTGGGGGCATTGGAGGCGGCTAACGTGCATGCCATTCTGGAGAGCGAAGCACTGGTGGAGGAGGTGAGTGTGACTAAAAAGAGAGTTGATTAGAGAGAGAGGGATGGTGTGAGAGGGTGGAAACGTGAGAAGCTGGGGGCCTTGTTGGTGTCGAGCAACGCACATGCGAAATGCTGTTGGAGTTACTTTTAAGGCGACTCAAAAGTCGAAGTCGATGCTGGTGGAGAGGTGAGTTGGGAGGACGAGGCGAGACGATGTGTTTATTTTACTCTTGATAGATGCATTCTCGAAAACAGACCATCATGTTGAGGTTCTGTGCTGCTGTCCGCACTGCGTATGTATGGTCCCTGCTGACGTGGTGGCAGGTGGTTTGACAGCCTGGACGAGGCGGCAGGCGAGTTGAGGACATGGAGAACTGGCTCAACGTGTTCAACGTGAAGCTCAAGCACATGAGAGATGATATCGAGTCGGTGAGTGGTTAGTTGATGGGGAGTGGTAGGGAAGGTAGTAGTGAGGCCCCTAAAGCGGGGTGAGCGCGTGGAGTCGAGGACATGGAGAAACGGCCTGAACGTGTTCAACGTGAAGCTGAAATGACATTGGATTGGATCGGTGAGTGGGTGACACTGAGTCATTGAGTAAATGGTAGAAATGGTGGAATGATTGGTCCTCCCTCCTCCCCCTTCCTCACAACCCCCCACCCCCTTCCCTCCCCATTCTTTCTCCCCCCCCCCCCCCCCCCCCCCCCCCCCCCCCCCCCCCCCCCCCCCCCCCCACCAGATTGAGGCACAGAACAAACATGCTGGAAATTCAGGCAAAGAACAACAAGAAGCTGCAGGAGGAGCTCTTCTTCCTTCCCTGCCTTGCCCTCTCCCCATGCCCTCACCCTCCCCTACCCCCTCTCCCACACGCCCTCCCTCCCCTTCCCCCACCAGATCGAGGTGCAGAACAACATGCTGGAGATGCAGGCGAAGAACAACAAGAAGCTGCTGGAAGAACTAGAAACGCTTCTGGAGTCGCTCTACATCCTCCCGCAGTGCATCCGCTTGCTCTCCTCTTGCTCTCTCCCTCGTCCCCACCATATCTCCCTCCCGGTCCCCACCCCCCACACACACAGATCGAGGCGCAGAACAACATGCTGGAGATGCAGGTGAAGAACAACAAGAAGCTGCTAGAGGAGCTGGAAACGCTCCTCGAGTCGCTCTACATCCCGCCCCAGTGCATCCGCGTGCTCTCCTCGGGCTCCCTGGACAAGCAAGCCATGCCCAACACTCTCTGACTTCCCTCACAACCTACTTTCCGCCCCCCCTTTCTCTCCTTCCCGCGCCGTTTTCCCCCGCCCGCCGCCCCCTTCCCCACCAGATCGAGGCGCAGAACAACATGTTAGAGATGCAAGCCAAGAACAACAAGAAGCTGCTGGAAGAACTCGAGACGCTCCTGGAGTCGCTCTACATCCCCCCCCAGTGCATCCGCGTGCTCTCTCGGGCTCCCTCGATGAGCAAGCCATGCCCAACACGCTGGAGGCGTGGGGTGGTTGGTTGACGCGGTTAAGAAGCTGGAGCCCCCGCAGCTGGACCAGAATTACGTCAACATGCGCGCGGTAGGATAAGATAATGGACAAGGAGGGAAGTGCAGGTGTGCATATGTATGTATGTGCGTACTAGGCATGAGTGTGGGGTGGCTGGGGATGCGGGTGAAGAAAACTGGAGCTGCCGCAGCTGGACGAGAATTACGTCAACATGCGCGCGGTAGGGCAATGTGCAGGAAGGGTTACATGCATGCATGTATGTGTACCTCTGTATATGTATGCATGCATGCATGTTAGCATGTTGCTGCTCAAATCAGTATCTCTTCAGTCCATGCTGGAGAAGAAGGTGTGATAAGATTGCACGCATTATCAGTATCTCTTCAGTCCATGCTGGAGAAGGTGTGATAAGATTGCACGCATTATCAGTATCTCTTCAGTCCATGCTGGAGAAGGTGTGATAGATTGCACGCATTATCAGTATCTCTTCAGGCTGGTGAGCTAGACAGCCTGAAGAACAGCTTTGTACACAGATCAGCAGTTTCAATCCATTCTTTGTTCCGTTTCTATCTTAACATGTCGACCCCCCCCCCCAACCCAAACCCACCCTCCTCCGTCCCCCCTTTCCCCAACCCAGGTGCGGGAGAAGAAGGCCGAACTCGACAGCTTGAAAAATGGCTTTGTGCGGCGGGCCACTGATTTCATCCGCTCCTTCATCTCCTCCACCGTCGAGGCTGCTGCGGTACGGCTGGACACAGGGATGCACCGATAGGGTAACTGGCTGGCTGGGGTAATTCGTGACCCACATTGAAGCAAGACAAGGGTTGCTGGTGGTAATCACAAATCTTCCTTATGTAGATGCGAGTTTTTATTTCATAGGAGGCAAACACACTTCCAAACTCCTGCTATCAGACAACTTCATCATCGTGTGAACCGAGACGGGGTGAGTGGTTATCTCATCCTTGGATAACAAGTTTTTGTTTTATTTTTGTTTTTCCATAGCATTATTGATGTTATCCGTTCATCTCGCCATTTTCTCCATCTCGGTTCACACCGATGATGAAGTTGCCTGATAGCGGGAGTTTCAAAGAGTTGATGCCTCGTATGAAACAAAAGATTGAATTCGCATAAGGAAGAATTGCGGTTACCACCAGCGTTCCTTGTCTTGCTTCAATGTGGGTCTTGGCTGGGCAGCGGGATATGTTGAAGTGGCTGAGCAGCTAACAATTCCTACAAATCCCTCCACCCACCATGCAAAACACCTGTCTTGTATCACTTTTTCTCTCTCCTAAATCTCCATATCTCTTATCTCATCCCTTTCCTATCCATCGTCATCCCAATGTGATTGTGATGGAAGTAATATCTCCCCTGTTACTGTGCCATTCCTTCCTGCCATTCCCCTGCCCATATGGGGAGCAGAAGTCTCAGAGGGGCCCGCCTGATCATAGGGAGCTGCACCGCAGATGGTCCGCCTACACCCAGCTCATTCATTGCCTCAAGGTGACTGTAACGAGGCAAATCAAGATGACTGTAACGAGGTAAATCAAGGTGACTGTAACGAGGTAAATCAAGGTGACTGTAACGAGGGCAATGAAGGTGATAATATTGAGAGCTGACGATGACTAAGGTACTGAAGGTGCTGAAGGTGATGATGGTTAGTAGCTGCAAGTGACTGTAACGAGGGGCACGCGTGAATGCTGAAATGAAATGCACGTGGTTTAAACGAGGGCAGCGGTCACAATCTGCCTTCTCTGCCTTTCCTGCCTTCTCATCAACTTGGTCACATGTGTGTGTGTGTGTGTGTGTGTGTGTGTGTGTGTGTGTGTGTGTGTGGTGTGTGTGTGTGTGTGTGTGTGAGTGGTGTGCGTTGAGATATCTCCAAACCTCCTCTCCCTACCTACCCTGATGCCGCCCTCTCCTCCCCTTTTCCCCATCTTCCCTTCCTTCCCAGGAGTTGGACCCAAATGTGCTGGATGTGTGTGTGTGTGTGTGTGTGTGTGTGTGTGTGTGTGTTGGTGTGCGTTGAGATATCTCCAAACCTCCTCTCCCTACCTACCCTGATGCCGCCCTCTCCTCCCCTTTTCCCCATCTTCCCTTCCTTCCCAGGAGTTGGACCCAAATGTGCTGGACAACATTCGCCGGACATACATCCACTCACTAAACATGCTGCTCAGGCGCGAGGTGAGATGCTGGTGGGTGGCTTGTCCTATGCGGATGGCTGATGATGTTGTGATGAGATAATAGTGCCTCTCAACCAGACATACAATCACCCGTTTACTATGCTCCCCTCCCTTCCCGTCTCTCAGGCTCGTGAGTTCTCAACTGATCTCCGTGCATCGGCCCGTGTCTCAGCCAAGACCAGCACAGCCCCACCTTTCCTGGAGCAAGGCAGTGCTGCCCTGTCTTCCACAACATTCTAACTGCTCTCTTACTCTGAACCCTTCCCCTCCCGTCTCTCAGGCTCGTGAGTTCTCCACAGATCTCCGTGCATCGGCGCGTGTCTCAGCCAAGACCAGCACAGCCCCTCCCTTCCTCGAGCAGGGCAGTGCCGCCTTGCCGCCTGCTGCTGACTCCCAGGCTGCCAGCGACGCCTTTGCCAAGATGCTGCGCGCGTTCCTGCCCTTAATTTCTGAGGAGGTGAGTTTTTGGGAGCGTTAGCGAGTCCAGTGGTTGCCGCTGTGAGAGTGGGGAGTGTGACTGTGACGAGCAAGGCAGCGCCGCCCTGCTGCCTGCTGCTGACTCCCAGGCTGCCAGCGATGCCTTTGCCAAGATGCTGTGAGCGTTCCTGCCCCTTATCTCTGAAGAGGTGGGCTGGCTGCCCAGCTGCCTGCTGCTGACTCCCAGGCTGTCAGTGACGCCTTCGCCAATATGCTCCTCCCGCTGCTGACTCCATTGGGTACCATGCTCGTGATTGACTTGGTTTTTGAGAATTCTCAAAAACTGACTCCAATGGGTACCATGCTAGTGATCGACACGCGAGCATGCTAAGATTAGCTGAAATCTTCCCCCGTCCCTCGCTCCTCCTCTTCCTCCATTTCCCGCCCTCCCCTCTGTTCTCTCCCCGCTACAGGGTCTCTTCTTCCAGCAGGCCTTGGCATTGATTCCCTCTCCCTCTCTCCCCCTCCGTTTTCCCTCTCCCTTGCATCCCCTCCCCCTGTGTTCTCCCGGGTTAATTCGTACAGGGCCTATTCTTCCAGCAATTCCTCTGCTTCGCCCCAGCAGCAGACGAAGACGAAGAGCCCATGTGTGAGTGCGCTTCACCGTGCCTGTATGTACAGGTCGCCCTGTGTGCATTCACCCGTGTGCTTTCATATCATATGTTTGCGCTTCTTCCGAAAAAAATCACTGGTGCCTTGTGTATGCATGCACATGCCTGCCTGTGCCTGTGAACGCATGCTCAGGAAGAACCATACGCACCCACTGTCGCACAATACCTCTGTTCCGACTTTTGAGACGTCTCAAAAGTCGTCTACTCACATGCCTGCCTGTGCCTGTGAACACATGCTCAGGAAGAACCATACGCACCCACTGTCGCACAATACCTCTGTTCCGACTTTTGAGACGTCTCAAAGTCGTCTACTCACATGCCTGCCTGTGCCTGTGAACGCATGCTCAGGAAGAACCATACGCACCCACTGTCGCACAAAACCCCTGCTCCGCCCGCTCCTCTTTCCTCCTCTTTCCCCTTCCACACTGCCCTCCTTCCCCCCTCCCCGTCCTCCCTGTCCTCCCCCCCTCCTCCTCCTTCCCACAGCGGACGAGGATGCAGCAGCGCTGGCAGCAGCTGCGAAGCAGCTATTTGAAGGGATTCACGAGGATTTTGTTGCCATGGGGGAATGGGTATCCAAGGTGGACCCCCTGCACTGCATCACTCTCGTGGGGCACACAGAGGCGTCTAGTTTTGAGGCGCCTCAAAACACAGAGGCGTGCACCCACTCGCCCACAAGCTCCCTGCCCTGCCCCCTCCCTCTCCCTCCTGTTCCCCTCACTCACTCCTCCCCTCTCCCCCTTCCCGTCTTCCCCTTCTCCCTTCCCCTCCCTCCAGCGGACGAGGATGCAGCAGCGCTGGCAGCAGCAGCGGAGCAGCTATTTGAAGGGATTCACGAGGATTTCGTTTCCATGGTGGAGTGGGTGTTCAAGGTGGACCCTCTGCGCTGCATCACTCTCGTGGGGCACACAGAAGCCTGGCAGCAGCAGCAGCAACAGCTGCAGTTGCAGCACGGGGCTGACGCAGGGGGGTGCGGTGCGGTTATTACCAGGAAGCTTCTGCTCGAGCTGGAGACGAGAATCAGGCAGAATTTCTTCCGGGTAAGTGGGCAGAGTGATTTTTCAGCTGCCTAAAAAAATCACCTCAATGCATGCGGGTAAGCGGGCGGAATGAGGGATGCATGTTTGCGGTATGACTGGGCCGTGAAAAAGGCGGGCGTGCTGTCTCATGTGCCTCAGCTTCTTCTGTCTATCCATTGCCTCAGCAACTCGTCTCAGCAACTCGACTCCCCATTGCCCCCTTCCCACCCCCAGTACGTGGAGGAGGCGAATGGGCAGATCGAGCGGTACGACAGGGGCGTGAAGCAGGCGGGGGTGCTGTCCTACGTTAACCAGGCCAACCCTCCCCCCTCCACCCCCCCCCCCCCCCACCTCCAGTACGTGGAGGAGGCTAACGGGCAGATCGAGCGGTACGACAGGGGCGTGAAGCAGGCGGGCGTGCTGTCCTACGTGCCGCGCTTTGCAGCGCTGGCGGTGCGCATGGAGGGGCTGGTCATGGGCTCGTGCAGAGACCTGGTGGACCAGGCCTACAACAAGCTGGTGAGGTTTAAGGGGGGTTGGGAGGAAGAGCGGGTTTCACCTTGTCATAGGCGTCTGGCTTGCTGGCGTCTAGCGGTTGTGGTGAGTGGCAGTGTGTGCAAATGGAGGGGCTGGTCATGGGCTCGTGCAGAGACCTGGTGGACCAGGCCTACAACAAGCTGGTGAGAGAGAGGGGGGGAAGGGGGCGGGGCGCACTGGAGCAGGTATGGTGGCAAACTGGCAATAGGGAGGGAGGTAGGCACTGGGTGTGATGGCGGTGGTGCGAATGGAGGGGCTGGTCATGGGCTCGTGCAGGGACCTGGTGGACCAGGCTTACAACAAGCTGGTGAGTGTTCTGTACATTGGCCCCTGCTGGGACCGCATAGCTCACATCGACCCCAAGCACTGCACTCTTTGGTGCGCTTGTTCCCCCATCCCCCCACCCCCCTCTTTCCCCCATTGCCTCCCCATCAGGTGAGCACCATGTTCTCCACGCTGGACCGCACAGCTCAGATCGACCCCAAGCACTGCGACGTGCTCTTTCCACCCCATAGCCCCCTCTCTGTCGCCCTGCACTCCCTCCCCCTTGACTTCCCCTTCCCCTAACCCTCCCCCCCCTTGACTTCCCTTCCCCTACCCTCCCCCCCCCCCCCCCCCCCCCCCCCCCCCCCCCCCCCCCCCCCCACCCCCCCCCCCCCCCCCCCCTTTACCGTGAGCACCATGTTCTCAGACCGGATTGCTCAGATCGACCCCAAGCACTGCGACGTGCTGCTGCTGGAGAATCACGCGGCCTTTCAAAACAGGTATTCTTGAGCACATGAAGCACTGTTTTCTGTACAGCCCTTGTGGTTTCCCACCATGTACCAAGGCACTTTCCCTCTCCGTAGGATTCCCAATCATCCTCCCCACCCCCCCCCCCCCCCCAACTCATACTCTCTTTGCAGCACTATGAACTCGCAGTTCCATTCCCACGCTGTATCACTTCTATCAGCACGTGCTGGGTGATAGATGCACCGTCACCTAGGACTCTCTGAGACGTATGAGAGATGCCACTCCGTCACCTAGCTGTCTCTCTATCTCCCTCTTGCAACCCATCCATTCCCTGATTCCCCCAACCCCTCCCACAGCACCTACGATCTCGCCGGCACCATCCCCACGCTGCGTCTCTTCTACCAGCAGTCCAGTGAGACGTACGAGACAGCATGCACGCGCTACATCGACTCAGTCATCTTCGGGGTGAGCAGGAGGAATCGCACTCTCTTTTCCGGGTGAATCTTCTTTCTCTGGGCGCGGTTGCACTCTCTTTTCCGGGTGAATCTTCTTTCTCTGGGTGCGGTTACACTCTTCTTTCCGGGTGAATCTTCTTTCTCTGGGTGCGGTTACACTCTCTTTTCCGGGTGAATCTTCTTTCTCTGGGTGCGGTTGCACTCTCTTTTCCGGGTGAATCTTCTTTCTCTGGGCGCGGTTGCACTCTCTTTTCCGGGTGAATCTTCTTTCTCTGGGCGCGTTGCCAGTCCAGTGAGACGTATGAGACGGCATGCACTTGCCACATCGCTCAATCATCTTCGGGGTGAGCTTGAGATTTCATCTTCGCTCAGTCATTTTCGGGGTGCTGATTCTCTGCCATCAGGAGATCAAGCACCTGCTGCGCCGCTCAGCTCACCATTGCAAAATGTTTGCTCTCTCCAACACTGTTCCTTTTGAGTCGACTCAAAAGTCAAAATGTTTGCTCTCTCCAACACTGTTCCTTTTGAGTTGACTCAAAAGTCAAAATGTTTGCTCTCTCCAACACTGTTCCTTTTGAGTCGACTCAAAAGTCAAAATGTTTGATCGCTCCAACACTGTTCCTTTTGAGTCGACTCAAAAGTCAAAATGTTTGCTCTCTCCAACACTGTTCCGTTCCTTTTGAGTCGACTCAAAAGTCAAAATGTTTGCTCTCTCCAACACTGTTCCTTTTGAGTCGACTCAAAAGTCAAAATGTTTGCTCTCTCCAACACTGTTCCTTTTGAGTCGACTCAAAGGTCAAAATGTTTGCTCTCTCCAACACTGTTCCTTTTGAGTCGACTCAAAAGTCAAAATGTTTGCTCTCACCAACACTGTTCTATTCCTTTTGAGTCGACTAAAAAGTCAAAATGTTTGCTCTCTCCAACACTGTTCCGTTCCTTTTGAGTCGACTCAAAAGTCAAAATGTTTGCTCTCTCCAACACTGTTCCTTTTGAGTCGACTCAAAAGTCAAAATGTTTGATCTCTCCAACACTGTTCCTTTTGAGTCGACTCAAAAGTCAAAATGTTTGATCTCTCCAACACTGTTCCTTTTGAGTCGACTCAAAAGTCAAAATGTTTGATCTCTCCAACACTGTTCCTTTTTTCGCCCAACTCGACCTGTACTTGTTTATTCTACCTTGTTGCAGAATTTCGACAAGCTGTTTGACTATCTTCAGAAGATAAACCACCAACTGCTGACCAATGCAAATTCTTTCCCCACCGTCCCTTCTCCCAACCCAAACCATCCTTGCAGAATTTCGACAAGCTGTTTGACTATTTTCAGAAGATCAAGAACCTGCTGCTGACCATTGAAACTGAGGAGGTATTCCACCCATCCCACAACCTCTGAGCGTGACTTTGATTGCAACTCTCAACTATCCCCGGGTGACCCTGGTTTCATCTCCAAACTATCCCCTATGTGCCCCTGGTTTTATCTCTTAACTATCCCCTCTGGTTTCATTTCTCCAGTATCATCTCCAGCCCACAATTTTTTTCCTTTTTGTACTACTACGTTACGTTTCATGTCTCCATGTCCCTAGCTTGCTTCAAATTCTATTTCAAATCCGTTGTCTTTTCATTCAACTCAGAAATTACCACTTGTGGCACATGCAACTTGCTCATTGTTCCAGTTGCGCTGTTTTTGCTTTGCTTCAAGTTTCGTTTCAGATTGGCATTTGAGACGCCTCCCATTGCTCCCGCACCCTTTTGTGTGCTTCAGATTCCGTTCCAAATCGGCTTCAGCAAAGCTGACCTTCGGAAAGTGCTCAAGTCGCAACTCACAGGGGTAAGCTGAGAATGTACCCGTAAAGGGAAGCATAAGTCGACTCAAAATTTACCTCGATTCCGTTTCAAATCGGCTTCAGCAAAGCTGACCTGCGGAAAGTACTCAAGTCGCAACTTACAGGGGTAAGCTGCTGGCTGGGAGCGTGTAAGTCCGAATGGTAAAAAACTATTGCTGCTGCTGCAGCGGTTGCTGCTGTCCAGTGTTCATTGCTCTCTCTAGTCCGCAATTCGTGGTAGCATGCTCAGTTGCTTGGTTTTGTAATGAATTGTCGCAGGTGGACCGTTTGCTCGACTCCATGCTCAACAAAGTGTGTTTAATAATCTTTTACTCTTTTTTTCTTTTTCATTTTTTTTCTCCTGGTGATTGGGTGCAGGTGGATCGGTCGCTCAACTCCATGTTCAACAAGATGAGGAAGAACCTCACGTCGGGAGACCTGCTTCCCTCGCTCTGGCTCAAGTGCAGGTCAGTACCACTCACTGAGTAGATCGCTCTAAGGGTACGTTTGTTGAGGCGCCTTACACATGCGCATCTGCTTCCCTCGCTCTGGCTCAAGTGCCAGGTCAGTACCACTCACTGAGTAGATCGCTCTAAGGGTACGTTTGTTGAGGCGCCTTACACATGCGCATCTGCTTCCCTCGCTCTGGCTCAAGTGCCAGGTCAGTACCACTCACTGAGTAGATCGCTCTAAGGGTACGTTTGTTGAGGCGCCTTACACATGCGCATCTGCTTCCCTCGCTCTGGCTCAAGTGCCAGGTCAGTACCACTCACTGAGTAGATCGCTCTAAGGGTACGTTTGTTGAGGCGCCTTACACATGCGCATCTGCTTCCCTCGCTCTGGCTCAAGTGCCAGGTCAGTACCACTCACTGAGTATATGGTTGCAAGGGCGTGTTTGCATCATTGGGGAGTGGTTTGAAAGAGTCAGTGGCGTGTCCCTTTGCACTTCTCATACTCATACCACAATCGAGTCTTTGGTGAAGTTGATAAATTCCTAGCTTCAAGTGTTTCTAGCTTCAAATCCCCTATTTCCCCGTAAAGTTCCCCTGTTCCTCTGTCCCGACTGTCGTGTTTCGCAACACTTGCAGCCATACTCGCCTGTTTTTCAGTTTATTAGGCCTTTGGCATGGCCCTCGCTTCTTTGCTGCTTCAAATGGATGGGATGTGTGTGTGAGCAGGAGAGCTTTATGGAACGATACGAGGAATTGGAGGCTGTTGTGGCGAAGTGCTATGCGAATGAAGCTATCAGCCCGTCTTCCCGGGAAATGCGTGATGCCTTCAACTCCATTGTTGCTTGATCTTTCAGACAGTAGAGCTGTGTGCATGTTCCTTGCAGCCTCCTACACAGCATGTGGGTGTTATACATTTTCAAGTGGAAGTGAGCTTTCACACTTTTAAATTTTTTTTTTGTGGAATTATAAGGTCCATGCATTGTTCTTTTGTTACCAGAAGGAACTAAATTCTTGTACTCGTTAGTAGTTGAAATGCAGGCTTATTATGAACCTTCCCCCCACCTGACAAGATGCCCACTTGGACAAATAACTTTCGCTGGGCGCCAAGCCAAGTCAGAACTGCTTGTCAACAGTCGGGCTCACCCACCACCACCACCGCTAACTGACGGAATTGCCAGCTGGAAAGCCCTTGAGCGCCTTTGTCGTACCTGCAAGCAGTTCGTGATTCACGCGTTTCGCTTGGTCTGATACACCTGATGCTTATTTCAGTTTCCTTTCTCAGCGTTTCTTGTGCTTCTCTCTCGATCAGGCGCTCGCTAGGGGCAGAAAGGGACTGAATGCAGAACGCTCATTTACAGAGGCCAAATTTTTGGGTAGCCCAACGTGTTTTGTCTGGGAAAGTCGATTAACTTATTCGAGGTCAAAAAAATCCTGGTTTTGTCGTGGGCTAGTAACGCGCGGGCCGTTGGCTATAAATGTCGACTACTGGGCGTATAAAGTGGCATTGTCCATGTTCAGAGTGGGCAGTTGAGTGAGCACTGGGGTGTACTGTAATGTCGCCAAAAGTCGTCAACCATTGGGCACAGGTCAAAGCGATGCTGGCCCTCCACAGCCTAATGACGACAGTCAGGGTACAGAAAAGTAGACGACTGCGGGTGGTGCTGTAACCGTGCAGTGTACACTTGTTGCGACGTGTCTGACGAGTTTCCGGGTTTCCGCGCTTAGTGCACAAACTGAACAACCAGGTGCGAAAGCTTTGCGACATGTCACGAACTGTATTGCGACACTCACCATCTCCAAGGCAATTTTTCTCCAGGCAGAACCGAGGCTATGGCGGCCAACCAACTACCAATCACAAATGGAAACATGGAGATAAGGAAAGAGACAAGCCCCTTCAGGTCTAGGCTTTTCCAGCACTGGTGCTGCCGTCCCCCATTTCTTTTACATTCTCTCGTTTGTTTTATCGCCTAGTCAATAGCTTCTGTACTGTAACCTGTTTCACAACGCAAACACCTGCTGCGGGTGCTCTCTTCGCATCCTTGACTTGCGCTGCTGCTCGCTGGTTCCTGGCGCGTCCTGTTTCCCCTTGCTCCCGCCGACCAACAACTACCCAACGTCTTAATTCAGAATCGTTTCATGCCAGCAGCAACTCCAGTCTCGGTTACCACTGGTCCCAGCAGAATATATACAGCTCTGATGGATAACTTGTGGGTTAGTAGAACGTGTCGGGAATATACCATCGCAGCAGCCGTAATGCCAACGTCAGCTTTCAATGTTCGATGCGTGTTCTAAAGGGTTCCCCGTTGTAACCCTTGCGCGATTGATTCGCCATTGTAGTTAGCTGTATTGTGCCGTCGTCTTAGTCCTTCCAGGCATTGCGTGGAAATTCTGATTGGCGACCGTCTCTTATGGAACTCAGATACGGCTCTTTGGTGACGTTTCAAACAGCTTCTAAAAGAAACTATTTTTTTCTAGCCAGTTGACTGCGTCGAACCCTAAACAGTCGTATCGTTCAGCTCCCGTGCTATCTTATGTATCGACGTGCATCAGAAGAAGACCTCGTCTTTCATACACCACGTTCAGATGGTTACCACGTTTAGATAGTTGCCACTCGACATTTCGTTGCTGCTCGCGAAGGTTTTCGCCGACCGATGGCAGCGGCAGGATCAGCATTGACGTCGGTGAACGAGGCCGACGATAACTCGTTGTTCTACGATGATCCCGATCTCGCCGTCGACGATTATATTCCCAAGGACCGCCACGGTAAGGCGGAGAGGTCCGTCAAGGTCCGTCAAGATCCGTCAATGTCCGTCAATGTTCGTCGAGGTCCGTCAATGTCCGTCATGGACAGTCAATGGCAGTCAAGGCCGTCAAGGTCCGTCAAATCTCGGCTTTTGAGTGGAGTCAAACGCTGACGACAGGGGGAGAACCCGCTTCTATTCTACTCTACTCCGTCCACGATATATCATATCCCCACTGACCGCCACGGTAAAGGGGGGAGGTCCGTCAAGGTAAGAAAAAAACGTCCTTCCTGAAACCGTCACTGTCAGGAGCAACCCTAAAAACCATCAATGTGAGGATATTCCCGGGACATTAACCAGGACCTTCACGGTAAGATCAGAACGTTCCTCCAAGGATGGTGGAGGGAAGGTCCTTTCTCCAGCGGTCCCATGGGCGCGTAGACGCGCTCATTTTGACCATTTTGCAAAACCAAACGCTCCGCTTTGATCCCGCGCTGCTCGATATCCATTCCTCCGAAACACGCGTCTTGGAACACGCGTCTTGGAACATGGATGGTTATGTTCCAAGGCGTTAGACGCAAACGATGGCAAAGTGAGGCTTTCCGTGAGGGATGATGTTGCCTCGGTATTCGCCGTATTCCGTCATCACCGTCAGTTTCCAGGGTTTCGTCAGTTTCGTTGCCTCCGTCAATTTCTGTTTCCGTCAGTTTCGTCGCCTCCGTCAGTCAAGTGCTCTTTACATCTGTCC